ACGGATGACAAGCATAGCAATTCATCATTCTATAGCAAGATATCAATTTGTAAAATTACAAGTTAAGCTCCAGATATCTTATCATAACGAAGAAAAGTTAACATGCAAACATTTCAAGTGTAAAATTACATACATTTATTATCAATTTATAATATTTTGGTATTATTTCTCCCCCCTTGTCATCAAGAAAAAGGAGAACAATTCAACAATGCAAATGTGATAAAAATTCATGTCACATTAAAAAAAAAAATCATACAGATTTCAAGCATTCATGACATGGTATCATTCAAACATTAAGGAGATAGCTTTCATTAACTTCTTCCCTTTTATTTATCATCAAAACTTTGCATGAAGAAGGAAAGAAATGAGGAAAATCCATTGAGAACCAACTTTGAATGACATTAAAAATGATAAAAGAGTTTCATTAAATCATGCTTTAATTTTTACAAGGATCAAAATATTCATGTGAACTCAAATCCTTATTCTTGCAAGTGTTCATCTCATAAAAAATCATAAATTTTTTTCCTTCATTAAGAAAGAATTCATGTGAGAGAATCATCATATGAAGGATAAAAGAAATTCCGAGAATTAATCTTCATAATGAAAGGAGCATCACATCAAAATCATTTCTCAATAAAAATTCACAAGAGATAAATCCAAGAGATGCATTTGTCAATGATTTCCATGAATCAAACATCAAGATATATATAAATACTTCATGCATTTATAAAATATTTTGTCATAGCTTTTCATCACTACTTGCATGAGGCAATATCATTAGTGCTTTGTAGTACTCAAGGATTAAAAATCTGATGTATGATTAAAACTTCTCAATATTCAATAGAAATCATAATCATCAAAGTAAACTTTATGCTATTGCATCATTATATAATAACATGCTCATAATCATAGAAACTTTTAGCATCAAAGCACAAAATTTCCAACTTCAAAGTAAACATGTTATTGAGGCACACAATCTTATCATCATATAAAATTTACATCATAAAATTATCAACACAAAATTTAAATGAGTGATCAAAGAATCAAGAAGGTCTGAAACCAAAATTTAACAGATTCATGCATTCGGACACATTAACATTCCTAACTCCGTAAATGCTCATCAAACAATACATCAAGTCGTAGATACGAATATATCAAGGACTTTATCCATTCAAAAGATATATCAAGTCTAATTCTTAGAGTGATATATTCATTAAAGTAAGCTTAGAATT